GCACCTCCCGGCGTCCACATAAGCTCTCCTTCCTTTTCCCTGTTTCCCCCTCTCAAGGAAGAGATTCGAGGTATGACGATCGACTTTCGAGGATCGAGTTAGTTGGAAGTCTTTATATTTTGGGGCCTCCGGGAGGCCTCTCGTCGCCACACGGGGGGTCCGCCTCGACATTGGCCAGAACACAGCCCTGGAGAGGTTCGGGGGCCTACTGTTGAGGCTGAGTCCTTCCCCATGGTACTGCAGTGTAGTGCATGTGGTGGGTTGCACTGCGCTGCTGCGCCTGATCGCCCAGAGAGCCTGCGAGCAGGGGGCGTGGGCTGCCCAAGAGCGTCTTCCGAGTCAGAGGACGGAATCAGAGACGCCCTCGCAGCAGGTTGGCAGGCCTTGGCATCTGGAACTCGCGCGAAGCTTGACGACCCGGCTATAAAAGTTCAGGGCGCGAGCTCTTGTTCTTGGGAACCGCATCATGGAAACGCGTCGTTGTAGCGATTCAGATCCAAACTCCAAAAACACCATCCTCTTCAAGCTTGACCCCCTTTTGGGTTGTCTCTCCTCCTGCTCCTCCTCCTCGTCCTGCTCCCTCTGCTCCTCCCAAGCTGTTGGCAAAATTGAACGCCTGTACCCCCCCGCGGCAGAGCTCAGATAAATGAGTCACTCGTTGTCCGCGACTGACCGACCGACTTGCTTTCGAATGCCAGAAGGCATAACCATACGTTAGCGAAGGCCTTGCGGTCGGTGCCGCCGACCCTGAAGGGGGACGACAACGGCGGCGGCGGCGACGCCGACGACGCTCATGTGGGCCAGAGGGATGCTTTCTGTGGTCTCTGCGGAAAGCTCTCGGGGGCCTTTGGGGAGGAATTCGATGGCCTCTTTGGAGCCTCTTGGGGCCTCTTCGGGATCTCTGGGGACTTCTTGTAGGTCTCTTGGGGCCTCTGGGGAACCTCCTCGGGGCCTCCTGGGAGCCTCTCGGGGCCGAGGGCTCGAAATGTCCGTCTGGGTCCCCCGTCTAGGCACGCTCTTGGAACCGTTTTGGGGTTCTCTTTGTCCGTCTTGGAAGCGTTGTGGGGTGTCTTGGGGTCCTCTTGGGCTGTTTTGGGGCCCTCTTGGAGGCCTCTTGGGCCGTCTTTGAGCGATCTTGGGGGCCTCTTGGGCCGTCTTGGAGCGGCGGGGAGGGGAAAAGGCGAGAACGCGCCCAAATCTTAAGGACACCATAGGGCAAATCAATGGAGTTTGCCTCGTGGGGCCCTTCTTTGGAGTGCTCCTGGAAGCTTCCTGGAGGCTTCTTGGGGCGTCCTGGAGGCCTCCTAGGCAGTCTTGGGGGCGTGAAGGCGTTTTGGACCGATACTTTGGCGATTGGGGGCCCTCTCGGACCGTCTCGCGGGCCTCATAGGGGCACTCTCGGCCAGGGGGGTGTCTGACCTCGCGGCTCCCGTGCGCCACTTCGCGCGCCTCGTCGCGTCGCCTTCGTCGTCGTCTTCGTCGTCGTCGTCGTCGTCTTCGTCGTCGTCGTCAGGCACGTGGTTGGCCTCGTCGTCGACCTCCTCGCCGGCCACCTCGTCGGCCTCCTCGTCGCTGCCTCTTCTCCTCGCCCCTCGTGCCTCCTTCGCTTCTCCGCCCAGACACCGTACCACAACTCCAAAGCGAGCAGAGGGGCGTAAGGAGTGGAAGCGAGCGTGCGCCCGCGGCCGCGTCGGCTCAAGCGGCCGGCCGCCCAACTTTGACTGTGCCTCACTGCGAGGCACACAATCGCTATCGAGACCAAAAGGATCTTCCTATTGCTTGAGGTGGCATCTCCTCTCATTCGGAGACTATCGTTACTACGGTACAGCAGAGCGGGAGCTTGGCTTCGCCTGAGGCGAGGCTGTTGACTGGGCCTTCCAGCCCCCTTCAAACTTGGTAGCGGAGCTGGCCTACGGTGGTCAGCTCTTGCTCTGCTCCTCACCATCCACGGCGCTATCTGGTGGACTACGGATATGGTGGAACATCAGGGTGCAGTGGGATTGCGCGGAGGAGTGTATATAACTACGCAGTACCGCAAGGAAGCTTGCAGCGATATCTTTGTCCAAGCGGACATCTCTTACTCACATCTCACATCCCTACGCCGTTACACTCTTGAAGTCCACCCACCTACTCCACTTGGAAATTTCTTCGAAAACATAATGCATGGAAACATGCGATACGGTATACTGCCGCCTCCGGCCCCGCGCAGACTTAGACAACGCATAAGTCCCCACCGACTACATCCGACTACGACCAACGAGGCCACTGGATTGGGGTTACTGTCTTTGGGCTCATATGGGTCGCTATTATTGGGTGTGCGGTAGGAGATATGCGGGGCAGAGACGACACTAGAACGACTGGCCCCTATTGAGACCCTGCTTGTCAAGTACCATTTCGCGAGTTCGTCCGCGAACTACATGCTTGGATCAATGTGACCACAGGCAACAAGACGCCCTCCCAGCAAGCCGCCGCATTGCAGCGAGGTTTGGGAGCTCTCGCGCGGACTATAGCCATGAGGGCCCCCCCAGCAGTCATTCATTTTGGCGTCAATATAGGCGGTCGCCACACCGACGGCGTCGCCTACATTATGTTCCTCTTAAGTGCGAAGTTCGAGAACTTAGAAGAGGAACGCCTACTCTGTTCTGGTTCGGCTCACATTGACTTTCGAGTCCATACGGGTAAACGTATCGACCTGACTTTTATCACGATTCGAAATATCCCGCTACGAAGCTGAAACCGCTGGCTTCAACATCCCAACTTCCAAATCTTAGCAGTAATCCTATTCAGAGCTCTTTGGAGTGGGGACATCGCGTGCACAATAACTCCTGCAGCCTCTGAACCACCACGTGCCGAGGGACCAGCCACAATTTGACGCTCTACTTGAACGTATGAGGTCATATGTTCACATAGCTGCTGAGAGGACCCCTGGCGATATTGGTGGGATTTTTAGCCGCGGTCACCAAACCGAGACCTTCCGCGCAGAGGCCAACGCAGGGTAACCTGCCAACGACGTCTGGAACGATGATCCGCAGCCAACTGAGACCACTACACTGTTGGCTCAGAATGATGGAACGGCTTCGGGGTCGCGAGGCCCCTGGGCCAGATTTGGGGGGCCGCCCGACGCGGCTTCCCTTGTGCAGGCTATGGCCCGAATGGGCTCAGCGGGGCAACCCATCGAGTCCGACTTCGACTCCGGTACCGATGCAGACGCGTCTTTCGATGATTCGGCTACCGCCTTGGATTGCTCTGATATGCCTACATGCCTTACTGAAGAACAGCAAGCTCAATGGTTATTTTTGGGCTATCAAAAACACAAGCGTCGTTGGCGGAGGTCCATGAAGAAACCAGTCCGAAGGGTGAGACGTATTGCACGACGGTCACTTAAAGAAAAAGGCAAGGGTCGAAGCAAAGGCAAAGGTAAGCGTCGGCGATCACATGGTAGAGGCGTACTAGCATTCCAAGCGTCTCCTACTGGACCTCAGTACGAGGAACTTTTTTTAGGTATTGGCAGAAACCGCAGGCAGACATCAGGCAAAGGTAAAGGACGACGAGGAAATCCAAAGGATGCCAAAGGTAAAACCATGGAGTGCGACATATGTCACAGCACGCAACACTTCCGACGCGAATGCCCCCAAGGTGATGGAAGAGGCAGGGGTCCGTCAATGCATCTGGCTCACATGGACTCCGACATGCAGTATGTTTATTGGGGGTCGCTTTTAGCCGACCCTGCCGACGGCTCAGCCACAATTGTTCATTTCATGGCTGCCAGGTATCTAAGTGCCAGTATGGCCCTCGAGAATTACGCCGGCGAGCTGTTCGAGGAGGTGTTTGCTGGCCACAGCGATATCGACTCGGCAGAATGGCTGGGTGTACCCATCGCGGGGCAACCTGCAGATATTGAGTTTGTCGAGAACTTCCACGTGCCCGTCAGCGGTGATCTTGGCATGGCTGGGGCACCCGCGGACTCAGATTCTACCATTCCTGCGACAGATGAGGAAATGCATGCGGTGCTTTATCCTCGGGTGATCGGAAATCCGACAAAGACGGAACTAATCGATGGTGATCCACTGCGGGGGAACCCGCGCGACGCTGGTGATCTATCTGAACGTATTCAATATGAGCTTGGGCATGATGAAGGATTTCCGCATCTTTCAGTTGCGTCGGATCGGTCCGCCAGCAGCCCGAGACGATCGCCGAGCCGCCTATTTTGATAAGGAATAGCTATCATGGCGACCCGAATCGCTCCCCAGTGGACGAGGAGGACGAGCGGGAAGACGATGGCCGCGTGATACGTCGCGGTCGGGCTCCCAGTCGCTCGCCAGATCGCGCGCGAGCCCGCTCTAGCGGTGCTCGCTCGAGCGGTGGTCAGCGTCCTCATCCTCCTGATGCGGGGGCCACAAGGGGCCCGCCGTGGCAGGCGACGAGTGCGCATGCCCCCCCAAGGCAGGACCGTCTGCGGGGAAACCCGCCTCGAGATGACCAACATCGAGGAGGAGGATATCCAGATGGTGAAATGCAGCGTTTGAAAGGCTACGCTGAAGCTGGATCGGCTCGCCAGTACATGCCCGCGAACCAGATGGAATACTGGCCGGGAATGGGTTGGAGTGAGCAGCAAATTCGGCACTGGTATTCTCTTCGCCGGGTCAACCGAGATGATGCAGGCAATGTCATTCGTTCAAAGGCGGGACAAACCAAATTGCAGGGCAATATGGTCAAGCGTGATCTTAAAAGGGCCATCGTCGAGGATCGAGAGCTCTACAGAGGCGTTTGCCGCGCGTGCCCCAGTTGCGCTGATCACAGGCTCGGCTGCCCCATGAGACGCCCACCAAGAAGCCCGATTTTTTTTTGTTCTCCCCCCCAAAGTACTCGTTCGGCAGAACGTGATATATATATACAATATTTGGTGCAGTTCAATCGCGAGTGGCGTCTGGGGGAACCTGCTGACCGCACATCAGAAGAAGCAAGCCAGCAAGAAGCTTGTGAAGATGAAGATGATGAAA